TTTGTAGTATACATGCTAAGTGTCACTTACAGTTTCACTTTTTTTAGGAAGGAAATTTATAAATCTGTTTGTCAATGCTGTGCCGTATCATATTTGTGGCTTTCTCTTTGTAAGTAAGAAAATCAAATTAGCTAGAGAAACACTATTCCCGTAACTCTCTTGTAAGTGAGTAATCTGACATCGATGATGAATGATGCTCTGCATAAATTATCATTATAATCATCATTATTTTTCTCGTACTGAGGAAATATTGCAAGAGAAAGGGGAATACCCTTTCTCGATTCTAAATTTGACTCTGCAATAATGAAGCAATATGTTGTTGTCATTCCTGACTTTTGTTTGATCAATTCAGTTCCATGATTAGGATTTAATGTCAAATAATGTCTGATTCAAATTTATGACGAAAGTACATGCATCCTACCGGTGACCTCATCTTACATATGTTACCTGTCATAAATTATGAGTTATGAAATGTTGGGTTGTGCAAAATGCCATCCTTTACTAGATGTCTTTAATCACACTAAATCTTCAATTCATATTTGCATTTGTTACAAGAGATTATACTGATCTAAGAAAATTTGTGCTGTCATTGCATCCCCCCCCCCCCCCCCCCCCCCCCNTTGCCCCCCCCCCCCCCCTCTCTCTCTCTCTCTCTCTCTCTGTCTGCACACACATGCACACGCTCACACATTGTGTGTGCGCACTTACCTGTTCAAAATATATAAACAATTGTTCAAACATCAATGACCTGTTCAAAATATAGAAACCAAGTGTTCAAAAATCTCTCTGTTCATTTGATGTCCACCTCTCTCTCTCTTGATTGTAAAGAGCAACCCTTTCTTTTGATAGTTAGGTCGTTATTGTAATTAGGAATTCTTAACCTTTTTCTCTTGTTTATTAGGTATTCTATAACACGGCTCGATACTACCATGCTTACTATGGCCACAAAACAGTGAGAATATTTTACATTTCCTTGCCAATCTTTTATATACTCTGATTATTCCAGATTAACATGACTAATAGAGAAACTTTAATCTTCATTCTGCTTTACATTTATCCATATTAACCTATACTTTGACATTAACAATTTCTTATATTAGGATCCTCGTGCCGTCTTTGTGGGACTTCTTTTGATGCTCTCTGGATTCCAGTATCTAAACCAGTGGACAAGGTATACGCAGGTAACTGGAGACATTGTCTATTGCATTAAGGGTTATCATTGGATATATTTAAGGGAAAGGCTAATGCTAGGATGCAACATGAAAGCATAAATGCAGTATAAAGTGTCTTTAGTTTATTATTTGTACAATATGTTGCAAGCAACATTAAGTTGAACAAATTCTTTTTAGCCATAGATTCTTTGTTAGCTAGTTGCTGTTTCTCATTTCATATTCACTTGTACATCAGAGCTCAGACACACTTACCACAGGAAGCTGTGCACATACTTGGTATAGAAATAGAAGCTATGAAACGTAGTGTACCGTCTTTGCTTCTTACTCTTCTACTTCTATATTAAGTTCTCTTGTTGTTTCAGGCTATTGATATGGTCAAGAAGTCGCCTGCCTACAAAAATAAGCTAAAAGCCTTGGAACTTGAACGCAGTGGGGGAGTGACAAATAAGAAGAAAAGTAACAAGCAAGTAGATAAGTAAGTTTATTTTGAATACCTATGGTTGCGACTCGTCCGACATGTCTATATTTCTCATTGAGCTCAATTCAATACTTTTCTTTTAAGATTTTTTTGTACGTATATGCACTCAGCAGTTCTCTTCAGTGAATTTTTTGAGGTAAAGATGAGCGGAGTTTCCTTTTTGTGGCAGGAAACTACAGGAAGAGCTCAGCAAGGAACTTGATCTGCAGATAAAGGGTGCTGAAAAGCCCTCTGTTTGGGAACTTTTAGGCATTCGTTTCTTGCTACTCCCTTACACTGTCGGGAAGGTTAGTGAATTCTTCTTTCTAACACTATACAGATGCATGAAAGAAGGCCATTAATTTTTCAGGCTGTTCTTAATTGTTGTCTTTTGCGGTTGCCATTACTGTGTTAACCCAAAATTTTGCATTAGATTACACACAATAAGATTACAGAACTTTTGTTGTCCACAGCTTTTGTTGTGGTATGGATGTTGGTTCTGGAGATACAAGGTGAAACGAGCTCCATATTCATGGGAAGATGCCTCCTATTTAACAAGAAGATCCCTTGGAGTACCTTCTGATTCGTGGAGATATACAGGTAGCACAGCTTGTCTATCTCAAAATTTAACCTGTACTTGGACAGTATGGGCTCTTTTCATGCTCGAACTGAACCAAGAACAGTTGCAATCTTTAATCTAGGTTACCTTAGGAATGCTGATCTCTTTATGGGGCTTCTCAACTTTCTGTACACACACACACTGAAACTAGCTTCGATTTGTTTATTTGGACCTACCTGGAAATTTCGTTGCTGTCAAATGGATCAAGGGATTCACTTTCTAGATAGCCACCATAAAAGAGGGAAAATAAAGAGAGGAGAAAAGGGACAGGAAAAATGATTTTTGGATGATTGATTTTGGCCCTTTGGCGTAGTCCACTAGTAATTTTAGTTGTCATTATGAATATATATATATAATTTTTTTTTTTTTCTTTTTTTTGGGGGTGGGTGGGGGGAGCGTTCTGATATCACTGCCTCCTTCTGATGGAGGTTCTTCTGCCGCAGGGAGTACTTTCTGGTAACAAATTGTCAAGTCATAATTTTGGTCCTTTGGCATAGCTTTCTTGTAACTTCTATTATCTATGGGCCTGTTTGAGCCACATTATTCCATAAACAGTGATTTGATATCATTTCAACCACACATTCTTCAATAAAATAATATTACACGCAAATAAAAAACTTTTCCTTATTTTTTAACAACACATTTTCCATCAATACACTATTCAAGAATGCATTATTACCAAAATAATGTGGCTCAAACACCCTCTATATACTTTTATTGGGTGCGGCTGTGAGTGAGGATTTCTCATTGTAGGGTTCTGGTTCTTGTCTGGTTTTAATTTAATTCTTTCTATGGTGTCCTCTAGATGAATCAACCAAAGAAGATCTTATTCAAAGACGTCTTTGGGAAAAACCCAACTTGGAGAGCTACATGGCAGAGATGAGGAAAGAATCAAAACGCAGAAGATAAAAGTTTTATAACAGAGAGCCTGGTGACCTTGTTTGCCTGTAATCCGTTGCAGATTTGCAAGAAGCATGAAAGAATTTTTGACAGAGGAAAGCGTTTAATATTACAAAAGGAAAGCCAAACCATAACACTCAGTATATTTCTTTTTGCAGCCTCAGTCTATAGAATTGATAAGATTTTTGTGACTTAAATCAGTAAATGGTCAAACAAAAAACTTGACGATATCAGATTTAATGTGATAATTCTCTGTTTAATGCCCACGAAACACCAACACACTGATACACTACGAGTGTTCGAATCCCAAGTCTTTTCTTGATATATATAAACACGATGATAGCATCATTCCAAATAGGAAAAGTCTACATGTATATAATTATTGCGTATAATGTTGTTCATAATGTGATGTGGCAATTATCCGATTGTTGATGTGAAAGTGTGATATTTGAATTAAAGGTTGGATCCAATGCCACATGTAATTATGGACACCATTACGTAGACAATTATATACATATGACACTTCCCTTGAAAATAATTTGTTTTTGTTGTTAATTGCTAGAGAGATGCTAGGGGGACAGGGGATTGGGACAGGGTTTGGCAACAGGGGGCATGTGGCGCCCCCCTATTGGAGGGGTAGCTGACCTGCCCCCTGTCCCAATTCCCTGTCCCAATCCCCTGTCCAAGAAGCTTAACACTAATTGCTATTTTAAGTTTCATCCAATTTATCTGAATGGTTACACGTGTCTTTGTGTAGAATTATCTAAATTTTATTTATAATACAAGTAGTAGAGCCTATTAACAACGTATATATATTTCGAAATTGCCAATGAATTTGACAAATAATTAAGTCCTTAATAAAGTTTATATAATTGTATACATGGGTAAAAATCTCTATACCTACATCCAAACACACCCAATAAAGATTTTAATAGATGAGACGGTTAGATTAACTTGAATCAAGAAAACACTTTGGGTGTGTTTGATTACATTTATTTTTTATGGAAAATATCAGTTTTTCATTCAAATTTCTACTTGAGGTGTTTGATTGCTAATTTTTTTCATGGAAAATATTTTTCAACTTTTGAAAATATGCCTAATTTTCTTTGTTTTTAATGAAAATATCTTCTTTGGGTGGAGGTGGTTTTTATTTTCCACAAAAGAAGGAAAATATTTTTTTTCTAGATAATATTTTTCATGCTAATCAAACACACTCTTAATGATGTCTTAACGATGAACTATAATATGGTATCTAGGAAGAAAGTGTGTTTTTGTGTTTATAAAATTTATATATCGATAGGATTACACTGGACTGAATTCAACGTTTAGCATATGTTTCACTTGTCCTTATAAATCGTTTTAAACCACTTTTTATTTATACGTTTCGAAAGCTTTACAGTACAACGGCATATTCACTCCTTTCTTTTTTTTATCTATTTATAATTTAAATCATTATATACAATTCCAAACATACGTTTAAGATATGTGAATTTGTGAAGAGTGCTACAATTCCTTTGCATTTCAAACATATTTAGTACACAATCCTCGGAATTGAGCAATACAATAAAATCATAAAACATGATTAAGGCGAAATGGAAGGGAAGCCACGCTTCTTGTTGGTATACAGTTCTTGTTGTGCTCGCAGTACAATTATCATTCTGGTGTTTGTTCGAGTATTGAATGGTGATATATTGTTGTGTTAGTTTCTTTTGCGAGATAGCACAATGGACCAAACGGAGTGACAAAAAATGATTTATGTAGTCAATCCCAAATTTATTGGATGTCATTCATTTGAGCCCAAGTGGTCATACTAAAAGATACGAGTGCTTAAAAAATTTTATTTGCATTCCCAGTATGTAGGTGGTTATGATTTTTACCATTGGTTTTTTTTAGGATCATTACAGTATTTTTAACTTTTTTAAACCTTAATGGTAATGAACCTTAGTTCATACTTTGAATTCTTCAGCCTGAGAGTGTTTTTTTCCCATTTTCTGGAGATCATTGTTGTGAATTTTCTTGTACGGATAATGCCAATCACTCAGAGGTAAAGTGCCATCTGCCCGTCATTTACTGTTTTTGTTCCACAATGTGTTAGTGAGTGGTGAGGCATCACCAAGAAGTTCTGAAGTGAGGAGGACAAAGCTGGTCATTTAGACTTAAAAAGGAAAGCAAAAATGCAGAATCTGAGTTGATTCAACTGCCCGTCCCTCTTGAGCTTCCTCCAAAGCCGTACTCGTGTGAAGGTACGTCACTGCTTCTCCAGGTTCCCTTCAACTCTTACAAATTTGAAATGTTTGATAAGGTGGATTAAACTGTATTGGACAGTATTAAAGGAGGGAAAAGAGTTAAAAATCTTGTTTATCATATTGTCCATGAACATACACAACTTTATACTAGGATATTTGGTACTGCTACATAAAATTAATTGAACAAGACACTTTATTATATATTATTCTTTAATCATGTTCAATTCAAATGGACCGACTAAAAATGTTAAGATTAAGGCTACTTTTTTCTCCAGAAAATATTAGTAAAGAAATTGTTTCGCGCGGGTTAGTTGCTAACAATTAAAAGGGATCAAACGATTGTGTAAGGGACAAACCTCTTGAGACAAAGTCCCAAAAAGGGGTGTTCTTTTATTGGCGATGACTTTACAATTGGAAATCAAAAACAAAATGCCTCCAAATGGAGCAAGCACACGAGTTACTGAAAAAAGTGTTTAAGTCTAAAACTAAGGAAATTAAAGTTATATGTTCTCTGTTCGAGAGTTTTTTATTCGATCATTTGCTCTATGTCTTTTCTCCCTTTTATACTCCATGGATGATCTTTTTTGTGATCAACCGCCTAAAAATCGCTTGATCGTTCTGCAACTGCCCACTTTCCTCATAATGGCCAGCTTGTCATGAAAACTGCCTTTTTTAACTGTTGCCATTACTTTTCGTCGTTCAACCGTTTTCGATTGAATTTCTTGAATCGTGGAACATAATAGGGCTGCTTTAATAACTGTTTTGATAACTGCACTTCTTGATAACGACAACGCTTTGTGTTTGTTAAGACTTTGGGCGAGTTGAAGGTTTGGGCGAGAATAGAATAACAGCTCTGGGTGACTGCATGGCACTCCATTCGCTCAGATTCTGGGCGACTTGCAAATTTGGGCGATGGCGTTATCGCGTTCTTGGGCCTCCCCATTTGGGCCTTCATCTTGAATTGTTTGATTGGGCTTCGTTCTTTGAGTTATATGATTTGGGAATCCTCCAATTGGGCTTCATTCCTTGGGTCGTTCGATTTGGGCTGAATTTTTATGTGTCAACAATTACCCTCCAATATGGCAGAATTAATAATAATTATTAAATTTTGCCATATTCACTTTGTGTTTCCAGCAACATTCGAGATTTCCAAGAATTTCAATCATTGTTTTCTTCCATAACCTAAAAAGGTGCGTCGTTTTGCAAACCCTTATAACCCCCAAACACGCCATTTCACCACACCGTTAAATCACGCCTCAAATTTTTCGCGTCTCTCCCATGATTTACTGTTCATCTTTTGCTTCCCTGCTACGTAACCCTGAAAAACCTCGTTCCATCTCAAATGGCTACTTCACAATCTCAAGCTGGCGACTCCTTTAGTTTTGATGACTTTCAGAAACTTCTGAGTCGTTCATACATAACTCCGAGTTTTCTCGCGCCCGTCGATGTCAACGCAATGAGTTCTACCTAGGTCCTTTCTTCAACAATGCAGAGGCAGTTGAACAGGCGGCGGTGGATCAGCTATTTCCTTGTACTCAAGGCCCTCCATTTCTAAACTCTCTGCCGCTGGGGCCACTTCTCGAAAGAGGTATTCGCACTTGGCCTAAATCTGATGTAGCTTTCCGTAGGTGGCATGCTCGTCTTGTGGGCCATGGTCCTAATAAGGCACTTTTTGATAATGCTAGGATTTCTGATTTGTTAGAAATCTCTATTCGCCCCCTACTTTTGATTCAACACTTTTTTCGATTGTTTTGAGTTTTTGATCTTCCAAGTATTATACCTTTATTTTCCCTCTTGACCCCATGTCTATTATTTTAAGGGATGCTGGGGCCCTAGTGAATCTACCACCTTTGGACGATACCATTTTTCTTGGTATCTTGGTTTCTGGTGGCGCCCCAAAGTTTGGTAGAAACTATACCGAGTCTTATTCAAGCTTGCAAACCTTTCACAATCATTTAAGCGCTGAGCCTTCCCATACTGAGCGAGTGACTTTTCTTCTAGTTTGACTTTGTAAATATGTTTTGTGTGTGCCAAGCATAAAGCCCTCCCTGAGTTATTTACCCGTAGCGCATGACTTGGCGCGTGGCAGGCCTTTGAATTTATGTTCTTTCTTTTTGGCTGCCCTTTATAGAGGCACGGCCTCTCTTCAAACTCAATTGAAGAATGGTGCATCTCCCACTGGTAGTGGACCTCTTTGGTTCACTCAACTGTGGTTGAGATCCTATTTTCCATTGCTTGATACTCCATCAATTTCTCGCTCCTCTGCTAGCTGTTATGGGCTAGCCGTAGAGCCCTTGGCTCATGTAAATATGTCCAGAAGGGACATTTTTTCATTCTTTTATTCTTTGGATTCAATCTCTTCCTTTTTTCCTTTTCCTCCTTCTTTGACTCCAGACTATGTACATCCCCCTCTACTATAGACAGCGCGAGCACCTCCCTGCTCATTTGGATCCAGTTTTTAATCGGGAGGGAGCTATTTCATGATATTTTAACTGGGACCAATGTCAAGGCAGGGGTAGAAATTTATGCTCCTCAATTTTTTACTCGCCAGCTTGGTTTCGGCCAAACTTGGCCTGTTCCTCCTTGCTATTCAAGGAACTTAATTAACCATTTTCATATATTAATAAGGCGAAGGCAGAGGCTATAAATGCTCGCAATCTTCTTTTAACCAGCTATTTTTCATTAACCCCCTTCAATTCTAGCCACGCCATCCATCCTCTTTTTGAACAACTCTGGCCGTCAGTGAAGCGCAGATTATTTGCGGCTGATGCCAATCATGCCTTTCATTCACTAGACCAGCCGAGCATTTCTTCTCCTCCTCTTGTTTTAGTCACTCATTTGTCCATCCGGAGTCCTTCTCCTCCTCGTCGCGCTAAACAGTCTGCTCGTCCATCTTCTTCTCTCCCTGCCAAGCCTACTATAGCCAAGAGTGCCTTAAGCCACAAACGGCTAGTCTCAGCATCTCCCATTCTGGAGGATGATGTTGATGATGATGATGATACCCCTCTTATCGTCAGGAGGAAGGTAATTAAATTGGTTTACTCACAAGCATACTTTTCCATACTTGAAACTTTTCTGTGTGCTGATAATTTTTTGGACTTCTTAGAAA